GCTGAGTCATAGCAAGGCAGCACAAAAACATGTTTAGAGGCAGTTTCCGATGCGGTACAAAACATGAGCCTTGTGACCCCTGACAATAAAAATGAAGCCCATGGTAGTAATCTGGATGCCCTGGACAAGCTTCAGTTAATACAAAAAAACATGAATATGAGGGGCAGAGTAGAGACAAATCTTCCATGATATAGTCTGCGTAATTACAATGACAGAAAATATGTCATTTGTCCATGTTTACAGTGGAGGCAGCTGAGAGAGAATTTAACTCCCGACTGAAAGGTATTTGTAGGAAAACAATTCAATACAAAATCCAATGATGATGTTCGTTTCCAACAAATAAATGTTTAAATTACAATAAATCAAATTCACTTACACCTTTTTCTACTGGATCAAACCAAAATTCATCACTAATACGTGCTATGGCGTGTATTGCTCTTCCAAATACTAGTAGAAAAGGAGAAAGGTGCAACATGCATTCTCAGTTAAATGAAAAACAAGTTATTTTATCCACAATAACTTAAGAGGAAACATAAATTTCCTATATACAAGAAAAATGATGTGATGGAAAACATTACAATCTTTCCTTTTTATTAGCAGAAATACCACAAATGTTGACATTTTTAAAAGCTGCCTCAAATTTCAGATGTCCTTTTGCAGCAGCTGGTATGACCTGATTCCATGGCCAATGAATTCAATGAAGTCAGGGACAATGCCTTGTAGGCAGCAACTAGTTTCGGCGCGAGGAAAGCAGCAGGGCAGCTGTAAAGACCTCGCCCTAGGGAACAAACACGGAATCAGCAGTGGGGGGGGGGTCCTCTAAATTTGTCTTTGTCCATCCTGGCACTGGCAGAGCAGCGTTTTGCACGAAAAACAGGGGACGGTTTAGTTGGGCCTTTGGGAGGAGAATGAGGTGCACAAGGAGGTGTGCAGATAAACAACAGCTTATCCACCTGAAAGCACCCCAAACCTGGCTCTTTGCACTCAAGTCTGAACAGCTTTCAGAGGCAACATGTCACCTCTTTGGCCTCCTGTGAGAGGAGGCTGCTCCTCAGCCCCATGAGCGCAGCCGGGGTTGGCAGCGGGTGCTGGTGCTTCGTGCCCGGCTTTGCACCTCAGGAAAGCCCCCTCGAGGGCAGCTCGCTGCAGGCAGCGCACCAGGATCCTGCAAAGCAGCAGCAGGCAGCGCGTCCGGGCTCCAGCATGGCCGCAGCCACCCATCGTCCCACG